GGAGGTCAAACTAGTCAGGATGGGTAACAGAGCAAATATTTATTGACTGGTTTAAGCATCACTTTATCCCTGAAGTCAAGTTTTACCTGCACACCAAAAACCTTGCATTCAAGGCTCTCTTCATTCTTGATAATTCCTGTGCTCATCCAGAAGCCTTGCTGGATGTGACCCCACACATAAAAGTTGAATATTTACTTCCAAATACATCTTTAATATAACCACTGGATCGGGGAGTTATTAAGTCATTCAAGTATAACTATACACAAGTGATAAAAAAAACTAGCTGCATCAATAGACTCCAACTCCAACCTGGCAGTACTAAGCTTCTGGAATAAGGTATAATGTACTGCAGGGTAAAAGAAGCCAGAGATCCATTACTAAATTTATGCACACTCCAACACAACCAGTGACTTTAGTACCAGAACCTCAATCATCCACTTCTGCTGACAACCAACAACCACCCACCTCAGCCTAGTAGGGCCACACCATGCATCTCCACTCTCTTCACAATCACTGACATACACCAGCAACTACAATTTAAGGTAAATAATATGATTTCTGTTCCATTTGTAGTCTTAAGCAACAAAAACAACATAATCATTTTTATTTTTGTAAGGTCTGGACGTCTAATAAAATGTAGTTTGGCTTTTGGGGAGGAGGGGTCCCAGGAACGTAACCCTATTTTACCCATAAGTTCTTCAGTTTATATGACACGGATTTATCTAACACAGCATTTTCAGGAACTTAACTTCCATGCAATACAAGGGTCTATTGTACACTGTATATTACCAACCATTCTGGAAAAATACCCTGACTTTGCCTATTGTAAATAGCTCATAACCACTTAAACTTGTCTAAATTCAACAATACCTTGTTAAAATGTTATAAATTAAGAAAAACCAAATACATATGTACTACTGTACATGTATTTTTGTGACTTAATTCATGTCTCTATTAACAACTCATTATGACTGTAATCAGATTATAAACTAGTAAATAGTTCATCACCACTGTAATTTTCTTAGCTACCATTACATTGGGGTCCAGTCCCTCAACCCATTACATACCTCTATGAATTTCTGGCTCTCCCTCCTCTCTGAATGATGGGTATGGGGTGCTTAACAAAGCTGTTACACTAAACTGTTCCAGGACACTTAAGCAGTCGATAACGTGTGTTTATGTTGTGACTCCTTCAGATGTATACCTGGAGAGGGTTTTGGGAGTCAAGTACAGACTTTAGGTGCCTGTCCAGCTCCCTCTTGAAGGCAGCCTGAGGTCTATTGGTAATCCCCCCTTATGTGCTAGGAGGCAGCTGAACTGTCTTGAGTCCCTGACACTTATTGTGATGTCTCTTAGTGTACTTGTGGCACCCCTGCTTTTCACTGAGGGAATGTTGCATCACCTGCCCATTCTCTTTGCTTTTGTAGGGAGTGATTTTTGTGTGCAGATTTGGGACAAGTCCCTCTATGATTTTCCAAGTGTATATTATCATGTATTCTTTTTGCCTGCATTCCAGAGAGTACAAATCATCCATTCCCAGTAATTTAGATGCTCCATTGTACTTATATGTGCCATGAAAGCTCTCTGCATATTCTCCAGGTCTGCAATTTTGTCTCTCTTGATAGGGGGCAATTAGCACACAGCAATATTCCAGCTTAGAGAGAACAAGCGATTTGAAGAGAATCATGGGCTTGGCATCTCTAGTTTTGAAGTTTCTCATTATCCATTCTGTCATTTTCCAAGCAGATGTGGTAGATACATTGTTGTGATCTTTGAAAGTGAGATTCTCTGACATTATTACTCCCAGGTCCTTCACATTAGTTTTTAGCTCTAGTGTGTGGTTGGAATTTGTTTTATATTCCAATCCAGTTTTTATTACCTCGAGTTTCCCACAGCGAGTAATTGAAATTTGTTTTCATTGAACTTTATATCGTTTCATGTGCCCCATTTAAAAATTTGGTTAATGTCCACTTGGAGATTTGGAGTGTCCTTGATGGATGACACTCACACAAATTCTGGTATCATCAGCAAAGAGGGCATGGTGCTGTGGCACACATCTCTGTCCATGTCAGATATGAGGATGAGGAAAAGGATGGGAGCAAATACTGTACCTTGTGGAGCAGAGCCTTTCACTGTAGCAGTTTCTTACTTAACTCTGTTTGCTATTACTCTGTATGTTGTATGTAGGGGTCACAAGATGCTGAGGTCATTGTCACACTTCAGTATGTCTATGTACCATTTAGTACAATGATTATTGTGTGTCCTAGGCCACATCATTAGTTTTGTATTTTAGCTGCTACACAAATAAATGCTAGTTACATAAATGCAAAAATATGCATAATGGAGAGTATAAATACCTGGAGACAGTTCCAAGGGTCAGCACCCCCATGGCCCAATCTGTGACCAGGCCTCATGGTGGACCAGGGCCTGATCAACCAGGCTGTTACTGCTACCCGCACGCAGTCCAACGTACGACCCACAGCCCGGCTGGTCAGGCACTGACTTGAGGTGCCTCTCCAGTGCCTGCTTGAAGACACCCAGGGGTCTATTGGTAATCCCCCTTATGTATGCTGGGAGGCAGTTGAACAGTCTTGGGCCCCTAACGTGCTAGTAGCACCCCTGCTTTTCATTGGGGGGACGTTGCATTGTCTGCCGAGTCTTTTGCTTTCGTAGGGAGTGTTTTTCATGTGCAAGTTTGGTACTAATCCCTCTAGGACTTTCCAAGTGTATACAATCATGTATCTCTCTCGCCTGCACTATAGGGAGTACAGTTTTAGGAACTTCAAGCGATCCCAGTAATTGAGGTGCTTTATCACAGTTACGCATGCTGTGAAGGTTCTCTGTGTATTTTCTAGGTCAGCAATTTCATCTTCCTTGAAAGGTGCTGTTAGTGTGCAGTAATATTCCAGCCTAGATAGAATAAGCGAACTGAAGAGTGTCATCATGGGCTTGGCATCCCTGGTTTTGAAGGTTCTCATTATCCATCCTGCCATTTTTCTAGCAGATGCGATTGATGCAATGTTATGGTCCTTGAAGGTGAGATCCTCTGACATGATCACTCCCAGGTCTTTTACATTAGTTTTTTGCTCTATTGTGTGGTTAAAACTTGTTTTATACTCTGATGAAGTTTTAATTTCCTCACGTTTTCCATATTGGAATAATTGAAATTTCTCATCATTAAACTTCACATCGTTTTCTGAAACCCATTTAAAGATTTGGTTGATGTCCACCTGGAGTCTTGCAGTGTCTTCAATGGAGGACACTGTCACGCAAATTCAGGTGTCATCTGCAAAGGCAGACACGGCGCTGTGGCTTATATCCCTGGCTATGTCGGATATGAAGATGAGGAACAAGATGGGGAGGGAAGAGTACTGTCTTGTGGAACAGAGCTTTTCACCATAGCCACCTCAAACTTGACTCTATTGACTACTACTCAGTGTTCTATTTGTTAGGAAATTGTAGATCCATCTACCAACTTTTCCTGTTATTCCTTTATCATGCATTTTGTGTGCTATTACACCATGGTTACACTGATCAAAGGCTTTTGCAACGTCTGTGTATATCTGCATTCTGCTTATGTTCTAAAGCATCCAGGACCTTGTCATAGTGGTCCGGTAGTTGGGACAGACAGGAATGTCCTACTCTAAACCCGTGCTGCCCTGAGTTGTGTAACTGGGTATCTAGATGGGTGGTGATCTTGCTTCTCAGAACCCTTTCAAAGATTTTTATGACATGGGTCTGTAGTTCTTTGCTATTGCTTTACGGCCCCCTTTGTGAAGTGGGGATATGTCTGTTATTTTTAGTAACTGTGGGACAACCCCAGTGCCCATGCTCCCTCTCCATTGGATGTTAAGAGCACGTGATAGGGGCTTCTTGCAGTTCTTGATGAACACGGAGTTCCACGAGTCTGGGCCTGGGGGCAGAGTGCAGAGTGCAGTATTGCCTTTTCGATGTCATTTGTGTCAGGATAATATCAGATAGGTGTGTGTCTACCAAATTCTGCCTCATAAAAAAATTCATTTAGGTCTTCGACTCTCAGTCTGGTTAGCTGCTCGCTAAAAACCGAGTCATATTGGACTCGAGTAGCTCACTCATTTCCTTGCTGTCATCTGTGCAGATTCCACCCCATTTAAGTAGGGGCCCAATACTGGATGTTGCTCTCGATTTGGCGTAAGAAAAGAAATAATTTGCGTGTCTTTCAATTTCATTTATGGCTTTTAGTTCTTCCCGCATTTCTTGAATAAACAGAAGAATAGAATGGGATTCGAGCCATGGTCCTGAATGGTAGCAGGGCCAGCGCTCAACCACTAGGCTACGAGACTTGTAATATATAAGTTTCACAGTTAGCACTTTTGTGTCATCTGTGTCAGAGGCCGCCCTCTATCACCCAACTGTTTTTCCCACAGCTCCAGTAGCCTTATAGATCTATTCTCAGACCCCCAAAGCCATATTTGAATTCGAGATAAGTCGTTGATTATGACTTATCTCAAACTCAATAGAGTATTTGGATGATGTATCAGAAAGACAACATTGTGCTGGTATGACAGCAGGATTAGTCTGTCCAAAATACCCTGGCATGATAGTGGCTTTCTTTGTACTTAGCAAACCAGAATTGTAATTACATAGTGTAACCTTTACAAAGAAATCAAATCTTTATTCTTTTATCCTTTGGAGTGGGACCCTGTGTTACAAGTATCATCCAGAGCCGGTACCTCCAGCTATCATACATCATATGGGCCACTCTCATATATCAAAAAATCAGGAGAAATTGAAGCTGAAAACTGAGCTGAGACACCATCTGCCATCTCTATACAGGCAAAAAGAAAGCTCTCAGGTGGGACCTACCCACGCAGTTTACCGCTTCATAATAATAATAATAATAATAATAATAATTGTAATAAATAACAAAAAGGCACAATACCGTGACTGGAACGATACACAAATAACCCGCACATAAAAGAGAGAAGCTTACGACGACGTTTCGGTCCAAGTCGGACCGAAACGTCGTCGTAAGCTTCTCTCTTTTATGTGCGGGTTATTTGTGTAATAATTGTAATAATAATTTTAATAATGTTCACACATGCAAGCGTCAGAACGAGGGAGCTACAACCACAAAAGTCAAGCTGCCTGCACCTCCATGAGTTATATATATATATGTATTGCAGAATTAAAAACAAAACGAATTTGAATGATGGTGCCAACAAATAAATCTCCACTTGATACTCTTCCCTTCAAGGTGTCTTGATACAGGCTTTTGATCCAAGGAAATGGAACTATCTTCCCCTTCCTTGAATTGAACTAGATTACCTCTCGTTTCTCCCCAGGCACTGTATGACCCCTACGACTTTAGCGCTCCCCCAGGAATAGTAGTTAATAGCACTAGCATAATACGTAGTGTTTAAGACATTCCTCCTCATTGTGGAATATTCTCAAGTGTATTACGTCAGCAACACTGGGATAGTAGTGTTGAGATATTCTTCTTCAGTGCGAAATATTCTCAAGTGAAGTCGTTGTAAAGGCTGTTCACACACTTCTTGTATAGCTTCCACTGTAGTGTAGTTGAGTGCTCGACGCCAGGCAAATATGGTGGCTTTAGAGTTACGGAAGGTGCTGTAGGCATTATCATACCTAAGTTTGGGACCACTAGTGTGTTCTCTGATGAACACTGACACATACTTGTTGTATGAGACACCCAGGAAATTGAAGATCTCCCGCGCCTTCACTTCCGGTCTCAGACCCAGGTCTTCATAACGCACCATTAAGTATCTGTCAAGAAAAATTTGTCTTAGTAAAACCAACCAATAATAAGTGTCTACACAACTAATATAACTGTCTACACAACTTGTATAACAGTGTCTACACAACTAATATTAGTGTCTACACAGATCTATAATTTCCTAACAAACAGAACACAAAGAGCAGTGGTAAACAGAGTAAAGTCTGAGGCAGCTACGGTGAAAAGCTCTGTTCCACAAGGCACAGTACTCGCTCCCATACTGTTTCTCATCCTCATATCTGACAGACAGGGATGCAAGCCACAACACCGTGTCAGATGACACCCGAATTTGCATGACAGTGTCCTCCATTGAAGACACTGCAAGACTCCAGGTGGACATCAACCAAATCTTTCAATGAGCCGCAGAAAACAATATGAAGTTCAATGATGAGAAATTTCAATTACTCCGATACAGAAAACGTGAAAAAAATAAAACTATATCGGAATTATATTATTATTATTATAATCAAGGGGGAAGCGCTAAACCCGGAGGATTATACAGCGGCTGGGGGGGGGAATGTGGAAGGCATTATAAAACAAATTTCAACCACACAATCGAGCGAAAAACTAATGTAAAAGGCCTGGGAGTGATAATGTCAGAGGATCTCACTTTTAGAGACCACAACATTGTATCAATCGCATCTGCTAGAAAAATGACAGGATGGATAATGAGAATCTTCAAAACTAGGGATGCCAAGCCCATGATGACATTCTTCAGGTCGCTTGTTCTATCTAGGCTGGAATATTACTGCACACTAATGGCACCTTTCAAAGCAGGTGCAACTGCTTACCTAGAAAATGTACATTATAATAAAAAAAGAAGCGCTAAGCCACAAGGACTATACAGCGCTGCAGGGCAGGAAGGAAGCAAGGGCATCAGGTGGCAAAAGGGAGATGGATGAGTAATAGGTTACGGATAACAGCGGGGCAGTGGATGGTGAAAGGGTAAAGGGCAGCAAGAGACTGAACGAGAAAGGGCTGAGGGGAGTGCGAAAAGTATCATCAGAGTTTGTGGAGTAAATCAGTCGTTGTCAAGAATCAATGAGAGAAGTCAGGATTAAAGGGGTCCCCCCAGCAAGAAGGAGGTAAGAGAGAGTAGTAGAACGAAGACGATGTTGGAGGTAAATTCTGCGTGCTCGTTGATAGGAGGGCAGTCTAACAGAATGTGGCTAATCGATACTGGAACTTGACACTGCTCACAGAGAGGAACAGGTCCCTCTCCATGAGATACCCATGGTAAGACGAGTGTGACCAATGCGAAGGCGGGAGAGAGTGGTCTCCCAACCTTGGCACTGATGACAAAAGACGGCCCAGTAACCAAATGCCGGTTTAATAGAATGATTTTTGTTACCGAGCAAGTTGACCAACATTGTTGCCAACGGGTGCGAAGGTGGGCAGCTATTGAAAGCAAAATGTCCAGAAAATGGAACACCTCGATAGGAAATTGGTAGGTCATGTACTGCTGACTGCGCAGCAGTGTCTGCCTGTTCATTGCCCTGTACGTCGACATGACCGGGACCCAACAAAAAACAATATTTTTATGTTTGGTAGAGATAGGCTTTAGCCAAAGTTGGATACGGAGAACTAGGGGATGAGATGTTCAAAATTTTCGTATAGCCTGTAGAGTACTAAGGGAGTCTGAGACTACTACAAATGATGACACAGGCATAGATGCGATACGAATAAGTGCTGCAAGAATGGCATACATTTCAGCAGTAAAAATGCTAGCTGAAGATAGTAAATGTCCCGCACGACGCTGTCCGGAACACTGCTGCGAATCCGACGCCGTCTGAAACTTAGAGCCATCTGTGTAACAGCGGTGGCATGAGAAGGGGAGTGGAAGTGACAAGAAAAAAGGGGAGCGGGAAGCCCCCGTAGGCAGTTGAGCTTTCGAGCAAGGAGTGAGAAAGAACAGACCCGAACAGCTGGAACTTCCCAGGGGGGTGGGGAAAAGTGAGATGCTACATGAACATATAAAGGTGTAACTGAAGGGAAGACAAGAGTGAATGTAGGCGAAGAGAAAAGGGACGGAGCAAACAGGGGCGGCGAACGAATAAAGAATGTCTACTAATATCGGTGACCATTCTATAAATGGAAGGATTGGTAGATGTGAGAGCATACATAGTAGCGAAGGCAAGGGGCATCACGGCGATCAGAAAAGGATGGAAACATTCGCTTCTGCATAGGGGCTCTAAACAGGGGAAGAGCGAAAAGCACCAAGGCACAAACGTAATCCTTGGTGATGGATAGAGTTAAGGCTAGAGAGATGGGCAGGAGAGGCCGCGGAATAAATCTGGTCACCATAACGAGTTTCGATAAAACGGGGGCTGAATGTAGGCGAAGCAGAGTTCGATAGATCAGCTCCCCAGGAAAGATGAGCAAGGGTTTAAGAAGGTTTAGCCGGCTGTGACAAGTTGCCTTCAGAGAGGTTATGTGGGGTTTTCCAGGATAACAACGGTCAAAGAAAGGCCTAGAAACCTGACTGTATCACGTTCGGGGATACGGGAGCCATAGAGATACAAAGGATTCGGAGATAACAGAGCGTCTAGTGAAAGTAATTTGGTAGTTTTGGTACTTGAAAATTTAAACCCATGCGTGGTGGCCCAAGTGGAAACACGGTCGACCGAATGCTGAGAGAAACTGCAATAAGATGACGTCAGCGCCTGCACAAGCAATTAGCGAAGCATCAACATAGAGTGATGACCAAATATTGGGTGGAAGAACAGAGGCCAAATCTTTTATAGAAGGAGAAAAAGTTTTGTGCTTAGAAACACATCCTGAGGAAAACCTTCAGCTTGGACGAACTCCGGGAAAGGGAACATTATTGACTCGAACACGGAAATGTCTGTCAGTTAAAAAGTTCTTAAGGAAGGATGGTAGATTGCCTCGGAGGCGAAAGGAATGGGCCGGGGTCAAAATATTATACCTCCAAGTTTTTGTCAATGCCTTCTCAAGGTAAAAAAAAATATGGCAATTAACTGAGTGATTATTCGCAAAGGCATTACAAACATACGTATCCAAGCATAGTAAGGGGTCTATGGTAGAACGAACCCTTACGAAAGCCATATTGAATTAGCGGAGAGACTGTTTGTGTGTCTCTAAATACCACATTAAACGTCGATTTACAGATGTTCCTCACTTTGCAAACTGCACTAGTAAGAGCGAGGGGGCGATAGTGGGAGGAATCATGTCCTGTAGTCCCCGGTTTGCAAAAAGGGGAGAACAATGGCAGATTTCCACAGCTGGGGGAAAAAACTCCTTGTGCCCAAATAAGATTGAAGAGGTGTAAGGATACAAGGGCTGACCGAGTAAATGTTGTAACATACGAATATGAATGTCGTCAGGCCCAGCTGCCAATGATCGCAAGCTGGGGAGCGTTGCCTCCAGTTTTTGAAGTGTAAAAGGCACATTATACTGTTCTTCTCTGAAGAAGAAAAGTCCAAGGGCACTAAACTCTCTGGCAGACTTTGAGGAAAGAAATGGGGGGCATAGATGGAGCCCTCGGAAATACGGACCAGTGTGTGCCAAGTTCAATGGCAACGTCGAGAGGGTTTGCTACATCAACACCAGCGACCCGTAGAACAGAGCTGGGTCAGGAGAGTATTTACCACTCAATTTCCTCACTTTTTTCCAGACTGCACTTTATAGAAGAAGCAAAGGGGATGGTGGAAACATTTGTCTCGCCAACAAGTGCGTTTAGCTTCACGGATGACACGGCGACGATCGCATGCTTCTGCTTAAAATCAAGAAGGGCTCTCAGCGTTCTATTGTACCGGTACCTGCCCCATGCAACACGTTTCAACGTACTGCACGAGCACAAGCGGGGAGACCACCAAGGCACGCACTTCTGAGAATGCCTGCCTGAGGTTTGGGGTATAGAATGAGAAGCTGCGGTATAAATGGGCGTCGAGAAGATGTGTAGGAAACTCATCAATGGAGGTAGAAGAAGGAACCTCACTAAAAGCAGTGAGGTGTGAGTAAAGATCCCAATTTGCCCGATCAAATTTTCCAGCGAGGGCTACGGAAAGGTGGTGAATAGGAAGGAGAAGTAAGAATGATCGGAAAATGAACGCTGTCATGCAAGTCTGGTAAACGACCAGGTGAAGTCTAGTGCAGTGGAGGAAGAGCAGACTGATGATCGATGCAAGAGAGAGTATGAGTACGAGGACAAAATGGGGTGGGAGTAAACCCCTATTTAAAACATGGAGGGGGTGAGAAAGGGGAGAAAAGCCCCAACTGAAAGCCATGTGAGTCACAATGAGATCCCCCCCAGAGGAGATGGTGGGCATTAAAATCACCAAGTAACAGAAGTGGTGGTGGTAAGGATGAAACAAGAAAGGCAAAGTCTGGGATAGAAAATGCTCGAGAAGGAGAGAGATATAAAGAACATTTTTTGTAAACCACTTTTTCAAGTGGATACGGGCTGCAGTGTAAAGCAGCGAGGTATGGACAAATAGTTTTACAGTACGGAATATCATTGCGTAGAAGAAGGGCACTTTCATTAAAGGTCCCATCGAGAAAGGATCCGAAGAATACAATAAATTATAGCCTGAGATAGGTTGGAAAAAAGCTGAGTGTAATTTTGGTTCTTGTAAGCAAGCACCAACAGGGAAAAAAACCCGGAAAGCAACATCTGAAGCTCCCCCGATTACCCCTGAGGGCCGCGGATATTCCACTGTAAAAGGCCATGATTGGCGATGAAGAAAATATCAGGAATCTGTAGGTAAAGGCACCTACGGACTAGAGGGGTTAGAAAAGTCAACGTGTGGTGGCATTGGAAGAGTTCAAGTAGCGAAGGAACGGAGCGTGTACGAAGAATGGGGTTGTGAAGATGGAGGGGAGGGAAAAGAAGGAACAGGAAGTAAATCAGTGTCCATTGAAGGTTTAGTCTCTGCAATATATTCTGGAAATGGCTTCAAGTGTTTCTGAATTCAAAGATGTATGGGAGACCATATTGGAAGAATGAAGGAGGAGGGTGAGTAAAGATTGGACAGTAATGGACTGTACCAAAGTAGAGGGGGAGGGAAGAGGTGTAAGGGGCTGGAGATGAAATGTGGGGGGGGGGACCCGAAGAGGCAGAAACCTGGGAGGGGCAGAAGAGGAGAAACTTGGGAGGGGACAGGGGTGGAAGGCATAGTACGAGGAGGAGGGTGAATCTCCACACTTGTAATAGAGCCAGAGAGAGGGGAAGAACTAGGTACAGAGACTGGAAAGGTAAAGTGTGGAGGTGGGAAAAAGGGAGGAAGGGGCAAAGAGATTTGAGCAATGTGGATTTTTTGGACTTTGAGTAGAGGGGCCCATTTTGGGATTAAGGTGTCGTACGGGTCTTGTCGATACTGGGGCTTGTGAGGAAGGATGCGAAGATGTGAGAACAGACTAGTTGTAGTCGGGACGTCAGAGCCAAGGCAGCAAAAAGGGTTAGATGCCGTAGTGGCTATGGGAGGGGTAACAATAGAGGAGCCCGCAGAAGATGGGACCCCAGAAGGGGGGGATGTTTGGAAACAGAGAATAAGAAACACGGGGGAGTTTTCCTTTGGGGCGGAGATGAGTAACTGCCATAGCATAAGGGAGACCTTCTGCCTCTTTGAGGCAACGGATTTCACGTTCATTTAAGTAGACTGGCAACGGCGGGAGTACGAAGGGTGAGCTCATTACAATTAAGGCAAGATGGAGGTTTTACTGCAAGATGTATTAGAATGGTCGTCGGCACCAGACTGGGCATTCGGCCATAGATCTGCAATATTTCGCTGGGTGACCAAAAAAGCCAGCAATTTCTACATTGTTGCAGTGTAGGTATCACCTTTCGAACTTGTAACCGATGTTCCCGCGACATATACAGAGAAAGGGGGGGGGAGTTCTTTGGCTGTCAAAAGTTAACGAGCCATTGCAAGGGTAAGTCTCGCCCGGGAAGGAAGGACTAAGTGTCTACTTTGGGATTTGGGGGTCCTGGAGTTCAGGTGTTCAAAATGTCATTGCCAATGACTGGAAATTCTGTTGGACTATGTATGGGGCAGAATGACAGTACCACTACAAGAATTTAGAGAAAATGTTTTTCAATAGTTTATAGGAGTAGTATCGATATTCAAAAAGGAGAGAAAGATCATGAGCTTGGGTTTGCATTCTGGACAGTGAACGATGGCGTACCGCTCTTTAGAGCGTGAAATGAAATATCTCTGCCCAAAATGACGCAGGAGCGCTTTGGGCCCAAAACTATGGTCAGATTTGGTAGGCAGAAGAAAAAGTGGTCTTAAAGTAAAGAATTTAGTCCATTGTGTGGTCCGAAACTGAGTGTGGAGAGGGAGTGCTTGAGTGTCGGTCTTTCCGAGTAGAATGGGAAGGTAACGAAGGAGCATCACAGGAATTGACGTTGGCGTTTAGGAGTAGGACCGAAGTTGGTCCGGCGTGAAATGGGCGGGCGATTCGAAAATTGCGTACCGTAGAGGGAGAACCGGAAGCATAGTCAAAGGAGAGCGGAAATTCAGACAAATCGAAGGATTTAGTCGAAGCCCCGGTACCTGAAGCGGGTGAGGAAACAGCACCAGCAAGAGGTACAGGGCATCAGGAGTGTCCGAAGAGTGGTCTAAATACAAGGCCCGGGTCAGAATGGGTGCGGGTATCAAGAAAGGGCCCGGGGGGTAGTGGTTTCATGGACTAGGGGTGCCATGGTTAGGTTTTCTCCTTTGCTTTTTGTTTTTAAGAAAAAAAAGAAAGAAGAAAAGAAAAAAAAAAATAAAAAAGAATAAAAAAAGGGGGGAGCGGGGAGGAATAGTTCCCAGGAGGAATGAAAGGGCCGGAAATCTCCCTCCGCGCCCAAAAGGACTCAACACGCTAGTAGCGCAGATTTCAGCATGGGAACCCGTGCCCTACCCCACCCTTCATGCCAGTAAACCAGCAATCCGGGATAGCAACCTCACATCTGCCGAGCTACCTCGGTGGACAAAAGAGAGGGCGGCCGGATATTTCCGCACAAAGCATACCTCCTTCGGCCACCACCCCCGAATCCGAAAGGTGGCTTCCAGAGATACACCCGTCGCCCAAAAGACACCCAAATAAATCCGGATACCAGAGAGGGATCGGGAGATCTCCAGGCAATCCAGATTCCACGGCAAACTACGCCACCGCAGGAACCTCAACGGAATGGGATGGACCCCGGTGTCCTTTCCCCTACCGAGGAACTAGCGCGCCTGTGGGAGAAATCCCAAAGGCCAAAAAGAGGAAGGGCAAAAGGGAGGGGTGAGGAGGAGGAGGAGGAATGGAAAAAGGGGAGGATGGGGAGGATGGGATAGGGGAGGGGAGAATGGGGGGTAATTAGGTTCGGTCTGAGGAAGAAGACCGACAGGGCTAATTCCTAAGACCAAGAGCCTCTTCACCACGCCAAGGAGCCCCCCTTGAAGAGGTAGAAAATGTACAGAGAACCTTCACGGCACACATAACTGCGATAAAACACCTGAATTACTGGGAATGCTTGAAGTTCCTCAACCTGTACTCCCTAGAATGCAGGGGGGAGAGATACATGATTATATACACTTAGAAAATTCTATAGGGATTAGTACCAAACTTGCAAATGAAAATCACTCCCTATGAAAGGAAAAGACTCGGCAGACGATGCAATATTCCCCCAATGAATATCAGGGGCGCCACTAGCACAATAAGAAACAACAATATGTGTGAGGGGCCCAAGACTGTTCAACTGTCTCCCAGCATAGATAAGGGGGATTACCAATAGACCCCTGACTGTTTTCAAGAAGGCGCTGGACAGGCACCTAAAGTCAGTACCTGACCAGCCGGACTGTGGTTCGTACGTCGGGTTGTGTACGGCCAACAGTAACAGCCTGGTTGGTCAGACTCTGATCCACCTGATCACAGACCGGGCCCCAGGGGTGTTGACCCCCGAAACCCTCTCCATGTATATAACTTATAAAAGTGTCTACACAACTAATATGTCTACCCATCTAAGTGTCTACACATCTAAGTATCCACGTTATGTAGGTAAATACTTATCCTCCTCTAAGGTAACTGATTCTTCCTTTTTGTTAGTTATCCTCGAAAATAACTGATGCCTCTTTAGTTATCCTCTTCCATCTAAGATAAATTATCCTTAGTTATCCTTCTCCATCTCCTCCTCCATCCTTGAGGAAGATGACTGATCCTCAGTCATCTTCCTCTAGGATAACTGATCCTTTCTTATTCTAAGATAAATGATCCTTCTTCAGTGTGTTATCCTCTTCCATCTACGATAACTTATCCTGTGTTATCCTCCTTCATCTAAGATAACTGCTCCTTCCTTCCACGACTCATTATTGTATTGGGAGTTAATAAGTTAACACCGTCAGTACTCTACCTGGGGTTCCTAGATGTTGTTGAAGGGCTCTTGGTCCAACCTTTCCTGGATCAAACCTGATAATCTACCATTCCTCAAGCACAGCATGATCAGTGCGAGTTTTAATTTCAGGTACTTAGCTAAGGAAAAATTGAAGACATACAAACATAGCCTAGTGGTAACACCCTCAGCTCTCAATGGAACCACCCGATTTCAATCTTGGGTAAGTTTCCCTACACCTCTTGCCTCTGTTCATCTAGCAGTAAATAGGTATATGGGTGTCGGTCGATGTTGTTGGTGGTATCCTGATGGGTGGTAGTATGCTTTAGATCAAGAGTCAGCACACTGTAAGGCACCCATTACATTACTACCAATACATAACTGATAACTGCTACAATGTAAGAGAATAAAGTAATCCAGAAGAAAGAAATATAATTTACCTGTCAGGAAAGTTTTCCTTGACCCACTTGGAGAGTGTGAGGTCTGTTAAAAGATCTTTGCAGACAGTTTCAGGATTGCTACAAGCGTCAGAGAGACACCAGTCAATCTGCATGCGAGAGTGGAGGCAGCCACGGGGGTCTCGCACCAGATGAACCACATAAAGGTTTAAGCTTGGGTCTTGCAGTAGCTCTACCACTGGTGAAAGACCCATCCGCACTGTCTTTACCACATTAAGTGGCATATATCTGCAAACTTTTGATATATAATCTTTGTCGAAGCATAGAGCTCTATTCAACGCACAGGAGTTCCACAGTCGAGTATTGCGCTCCTGGAGGTAGGTAGCTTCGCGCAGATAATTTACATGGGCATCTAGTTGACTGTAGTCACAAGTCAAGATGGCTCTGAGAAGTCTTACCACTTCTTCAACCAAAGGGCCTTCCTCTAAGTGAAGATTTTTTAGAAGACGATGAAGTGGCTCAAAACTAAAGAACGTTCCTGGGTAGGCCTTAATCAGGTCACCTAGATAGGATGAGCCACTCCGCCAAGTGGACAAGATAATTGCTCTTCGCACCTGGGAAGGTTCAACCATTTCCCCGGGAATGAAGTTGATATCTTTTTTAACAGTCATGTATTCTCTTCTAACAATGTGACGGATAATATTTTCTCCTTGTTTCTTAAGGTTGTCATAAGATATGTGAGGCAGTGGAGGAAGTGCCTTCTTGTTCAAGACAATGTTCGTGGCAGAAGAATCCTGGTTTGTCTGTGACACCTTTGACATGAAAGCCTTGCTAGAGTTGCGAGCCTCGCCTGGTAGGGGGACAACCCTGTCAGGGCTAACATGTTGCCCTGTAGTTTCCTGCTGCTGCAGCTTTTGTTGCAGCAGCTGTGTCTGGCGGAGATGATGCTCCTGTAGCTTGTGTTGTTGTTTGAGGAATTCTTTATGTTGTATATCAATTTGATGCAGCCATTGTTTATGCTGGCTACCCTCATCATTTTGTAAATGTTTGTCCTTTATTTTTTGTTGCTTTGGTTTTGACTGTCGTGATGGTTGTTTTTGTTTTTGTTGTGGCTGTTGCTGCTGTGTTTGTTGATGCTTGTCATCAACATGAAGCTGTCGTGGATCATTAGTTGTTACATCCTCCTCATCCTCAATAAGCAGGACACCTTGTCTGGCTAGTTCCTCCCTCTTTTCCTTGGTCAGATGAAAAGGCGTACGTGGTGGTGGTGGTGTTTGTGGTGATGGTGATGTAGAGTGTTGAGGTGGAGGATATTGGTTGCTGGAGTGCAGAGAAGACTGCAGTCCTGGGTGTGAGATGCGGGCTCCCGTCCCTCCAACACTGTCGTCGTTGGCAATCCGTCGACGAAGAAATCCCACCTCAGCCTCTGCTGCAGAGAGATGATACAATTAGGATAAACGATACAATTACGAGGATGGAACAATTCACATTTAACTCGAAGACTAAAGATGAAACTAGACAACGCTTTGGACTATGTGACTTAATAATGATTCAGCCTGGACTCGTATATCATCTAGTTTTATCTTAAAATTGTGGATTAGTTGTGAAATGATAATCAGTGTGAAGACTAAGCTGACACTAGACAACAATGCTGGAGAGAAGGGACAGGTATCACTTGCCTATTTAGTGCTGAGAATAAATCTTCATCATCAGTTACCCTGACTTTACATTTTTTTTTTTTTAGTTATTCCCGAAGTACAAGAATTCATTAGGTATAAAGAATTAGCTCAGTTTGTTCACAATTATTTGTTTTGGTTAATAGTAACCATATATGTGTCGTAAAATGCAAGTGGTCCAAGAAGTTATATTCCACCTGGATCACAGCTGATTACCCTTTATTTCCCAAGCATTGTATCACCCCTGTGTTTTGCATCTCCCTATGAATTTTATTATTAATGTAGCTTTGTGGTAGCGCCTTCTGCTTATAATCAAAGGGCCCGGGTTCAGTTCCGGGCTGGTGGAGACCTGCATAAATCTTCTTGTACCTCTGCATCAAGTAGTAAAAACGTACTTGCTCGTTAGGTATCATTTATGTAACTAGATTATGGTCAACACAACCTTCCTTCTAACTTTTTTCTTGGCAAAAAAAAAAAATTAACATTATAGCTCCTCTCTCTCTCTCTTGCCTAATCATTCCACTAGTCATTCCTCTTCCCTATTCCCTCCCCCCCCATCCTACACCACAAACCTCTGATGCTCACTCTAGCTCTATATTCATAAATCCACACACCATATCTCCGCCTGACTTATGAATAGCGTCATTATATAAAGCGAGGACTAGCTTGTCACTAAGGGTCCTTGGTGTGCGTGATCTGGCCTACACTACCTTAACACGGAACTCAATATATGTGACAAATAATAATTCACTATATCGAGTTTCACATATTTTGAAAATTGTGTTGGCCAGATTATGCTTGGACAACAAAGTCAAGCCTCATCACACTAAAATATTACTAAGTATATTAAGCCAAATTCGTTCGTTAGTGTTAAAGTTATAAACTACAGAAGGTCGTTACGGCTATATTTTACCTGCACACAAACATAACTGATCTCTAAAGCTGGGATCAGTAAAAACTCTATATACAAAGATATCTCTCCGTGTATATTTTGTATTTTTTAGACAGCCTATGTTAGGCTGAGGTAAGATAAGTTGAGTAGGTGGTAGTGGTGGTGGTGGTAATGGCAGTCAGTAAGTGGCCTGGTGGCTAAAGCTCCCGCTTCACACACGGAGGGCCGGGTTCGAATTCCCAGCGGGTGGAAACATTTCGACACGTTTCCTTACACCTGTTGTCCTGTTCACCTAGCAGCAAATAGGTACCTGGGTGTTAGTCGACTGGTGTGGGTCGCACCCTGGGGGACAAGATTAAGGACCCCAATGGAAATAAGTTAGACAATCCTCGATGACGCACTGACTTTCTTGGGTTATCCTAGGTGGCTAACCCTCCGGGGTTAAAAATCCGAACGAAATCTCTTAGTATACAGTACCAGGCAGAAAAGCGGTGGTATTGTTGAGAGGGTTGACAGTGAAGATCAGCAGCACCAGCACGCCAGTGATGGAGAGAGATAACAGCAACCAATGTTTCTTCCTCACACCCGGAACCATCACGACTCCTGCACACAAATAAACAAATAGTAATACTAATAATAATATTTTCACAAACAACCCGCACATATGAGACTGAAACTTATGAGGTTTCGGTCCAACTTGGAGCATAAATTAGTCAGAGAAGCGCGAAGGGAAGGGAGTCAGAATCTGTACGACAAGGGGCTGAGAACGGTAGTAGTAGAATGGTAGTTATTAAAAGTAATAGTAGCATTAGTGATAGAGGTGGCAATAAGAAGGTACTAGTGATAATGAAAAAAATGGAGCAGAGTGGAGTGTTAACGAAGAAATAGTAGTGGTAGTAGTAACTCTGGAGGTACTTTGTATGAACAAGAAAACAGGGAAGCACTGAAGGAAAACTAATGGCCCATGGAGGAAGTAGGACAAAACTCCTGTGGGACAACAACCCCATACGACAGAACTCACCAAGGTAAAAGACAGGAAAGGCAATGAAAAATCAGGTAAAGTCACGAGTGTACTGAGGCTTGAAGCATAAACTTGCCCTTTCTTCTCTTAAGTTTAATATTAAAACTGTTATTGTTCCTTCTGACAAAGGCAATTTAGTGGTTATCATTGATCTTGTGGATTACCTTGGAAAAGCTGAACCCTTACTCTATGACTCATACATCTACACTCCTCTCGTCTCCAACTTTTAACCTTAAACTTAGGACTCTAATCTCTTGTTCAACATTTCAGTGTTATCTGCCTCCCTCTACCTTATTTCTTTGGTCTTCCTACAGTTCGAAAATCTAGCATCCCTCTACGTCTCATAATTTCCTCCAGAGATTTTGTCTCTTCTTGCCTCTTGGCTGGCCAAAACTCTCCCTTCTTTTCTTGGAATTTTTTCTCCTGATCACCTCCGTCAATCTCGCTACTTCATCAAATGTATCTGGCCACATCCGACCTGTAAGATCCTAAGTCTTGACGTTGAGTTCCTCTTCACTATTATTATAATCATGGGGGAGCGCTAAACCCGTAGGAATATCCTCTTCACTAATGTTCCTCTTGATGTTCTCAATTTTCTTAAAGAGTGAAGGCAAATGAAGGGTTGCTTCATCTCCCTATACCTACTGATGACTTTTTTGAAGTTATTCGCCTTTGTATGGACACCAACTCTATTTTTTTTTTTTTTTTGCCTTTCAAGGTAAGTTTTATTCCCAAACCATTGATGTTGCTATGGGCTTTCCTGTTCTTGCTAACCTTTAAATAGGATATTCGAGATTATTCTGCTTCCTACTACTGGGATGCGCCCTTCCCTCTGGCTTCGCTCTTTGGCCACGTGACTCTAGTCTCTTTCAACCATTTCTCGATGCACTTAATCTTGCTCCTTCCAACAAGTTCAAAGCTGGATGTGAATCTAACTCTCTGCTTTCTTTCCTTGATGCGTATGTCTACTGCTCGGCGACAGGCTTTTTTTTTCTACTTATCTCCAGCCAATGCACAGTGGCACTGCACATTCACTACTTTTCTTACCCTGTTCCCTCTGTCAAGAAAAGTGTTCTCTATTTCTCCGTGGTAGTGTTTCAATGTCAGTGTTGTAAGTGTAGGTATTTCAGTTTTGTAAGTGGCGGTGTTTCAGTGTTGTAAGTGGTTTTTCAGGGTTAGTGTTGTAAGTGGTGGTGTGTCGGTGGTGTGACACTGGACAAGGAGAGGACAACATCAAGAGCTGGAACTCTGACTCGACCCCAACAACCACAAGTAGTGAGTGTTTCAGGTTGACAGCTTGTGTCGCGTCGCTGTGATAACATTTTGCTGTTAATCATAATTATCATTATAAAGCTAAGCTGCTGCTACTGCTGTTTAACCCCAAAGCCAAGAAGAAATACCATGGTACACTTTTATGGGCTACGACCTACTGAACAGACCACAAGGGTTCAGTCTGTATTAAAATTAGACCAACTGGTCTGTACCGAGCTACTTAACACCAGGAACCACCAGAAACTGAGACCTGAGTTCAATACCCGGGCTGGCGAGACTCGGGTAATGTTCTTTTATACCCCTGCTACTCCTGCTCACCCGTGACATACCTGTCACCAGTTTAGAAAGTTCTATTCCCAAAGCCTAGCCTAAGTGAAGCCTTCATTGTTGGCTGTTTAGTCAACTAGGCTGTTGGTGTTGGCGGTCCGTAGTCCCACATAACTATCATAACATGCCTCACCTGGCATTATTTCAGGGAATGATCCAGCTTCATCCTGCACATCTCTCTTGTTCCTCCAATACTTGTATCATCTACTGGGAGAAAACTGAGAATTCTTGGCAGTTCTTTGTGCCTTTAGCTCCCATATTTTTCACAGGGTTAATTCTATACTTCCTTTCACATCTCTCACCGCAGTATTCTCTTATTAAAGAGCAGAGATTAGGTACCTGACCTTCAAGTGTTTTCTATGTATAAATTATCAGATATTACCTTTCTCTGCACAAAAGATTGCATTCCAAGTGTATAAGGTTATCTATCTCAGTAGTTTGTTTTATTAACTATGCGGGCAGTAGAAGTTCTCTGCACATTTTCTGTCTCTTGTGTGTTGGCCGACTGTTGTGGGTCACAGCTAGGAAAAAATGACTTCAAAAGTGGCAGAAGTTTCCATATAACCGTAACCCCAATTACTTTTTTAAAGTGCAAAGTCAAAGAAAAAAACTTCTCAAATATCGTTATTTTGCATTCACTGATGACAGCTAAGAAATAAGTGAAATACTCAGAACTATAAAGAGTTCTATATTCAGTGAACAATTAATATTTCTAGTGAATAAACAAAATGAATGCGTCATTAATGAAGCACCATCCTCCGCCAACATTTCTGATATAATCAGAGCCTTTCTTAACTTAGAGGATGCTACTGACAGCCTGATCCAGGCCCACACTCGTGCAACTCCATACTGATGAAAAATTAGACGTCAAACCTCATTGATAACCACGTACACACACTTCCCATGCATGTCTGCTAGCCATGTAGTGTTGTTGAGTGTTGAAATGTAAGCCTCTAAGATGGTTACTCCTTGTAGTGTTGTTGTTGAATGTAATAATCTACAAGATAAGCCAAATATTATAACATTCTACACGTTCATTAAGAGGCACTAAGTTCCCCTGTCTTCTAATAACTATTTTTCAGCTATAATCTACCTTGTCCATAATTACTATAGCATTTGCTTTGTCTCTTTTTCGTGCCTGAGCCCGAGCCTTTAGCTCATAAGACTGTCATTCCCATTAGCCCCCTTGGGGCGGGGATGGCAGACCAGAGAGGCCTAGCTTGTGGCTAGGCCTGGGGACAGTTGGTCCCAAAGATGAGGAGGTACTTGTGCCTCCTCCCATGGGAGACTTAGGTCTCAGACACTCCCTAAAGAGGGAGCCAAGGCCGGGCCACCACTTGGAAAAGGCCCGGGCCGGGAGAATACCGGCTAATCTTTAACTAACTAACTAATTTGTCTCTTTCGTAAGGTGAAGTCCAGGATCTTTCCTTAATTCATGGTATAACTTAACTAATCTTTGAGGACAATTGTTGTCGAGGTGTGAGTGAAGCTCTGACCTCTACAACACAATCGTCATTAAAGTTATACCATGAATTAAGGAAAGATCCTGGACTTCACCTTCCGAAAGATACAAAGCAAATGCCATAGTAATTATGGACAAGGTAGATTATAATAAAGTTGGTAGAATTACCGACAATATGTAAAGTAAAAGGACACAAGTGCAACTAATGTGACATTTATTGTGGCAACGTTTTGCTCTCCAGAAGCTTTATCAAGCCATTTCAAACAATACCCTCTGTGTCCATGTATTGTTTGAAATGGCTTGATAAAGCTCCTGGAGAGCGAAACGTAGCCACAATAAATGTCGCATTAGTTGCACTTGTGTCCTTTTACTTTACAAAGGTAGATTATAGTTGAAAAATTATGTTATTAGAAGACTGGAAAACTTAGTACTTTTTAATGATTCTGAAAAAAAACAAAGGGTTGGTGCCCATATTTCCTGTTCAGTTAAATTAATCTGATTCTCTACAATATTTACTTTATTCCTGTTATATCTACTTTTATTATAAGTGAGTTTCAGACAGTTGAGTTACTTAGCCGTTTCAACCTTTAAAACTTAAATAACAAGATATTACAAGGACATTAATGGAAATAAATTACTGATTTTCTTGTTATCCTGGTTGGTAATTTACACTATATATGATAAATGTATTTATGTTGGTTTAGAAAGACACGTAAGCAAACACTATAACATATTTATTAGAAAACGTTTTCTAATAAATATGTTATAGTGTTTGCTTACGTGTCTTTCTAAACCAACTTGTCGGTATTTATTACCAAGGTTTATACCATGTATTTATGTGTACCTGTTTAATATATTTATTATGGAGCCCATAGTGATCGTGTGGGCGGTAGTCAAGAGTACAGAGGTACATAATGGGTCCAGGGACCGGGCCACATAATGGGTCCAGGGACTGGGCCACATAATGGGTCCAGGGACCGGGCCACATAATGGGTCCAGGACTGGGCATAATGGGTCCAGGGACCGGGCCACATAATGGGTCCAGGGACTGGGCCACATAATGGGTCCAGGGACTGGGCCACATAATGGGTCCAGGGACTGGGCCACATAATGGGTCCAGGAACTGGGCCACATAATGGGTCCAGGGACTGGGCCACATAATGGGTCCAGGGACTGGGCCACAAAGTTTTGATAGCTGAATAAGGTACAAAGGCAATAAAGTCACAAGTTAGAAAGGTAATGAATCAAGTAAATGTGTCTAAATAAACTTACGTTAACTTTATTTATCTGTCAGTTATCATCCTTAACAGTTTGTCAAATTTAAGAAGAAACATATGTAATGAAGACTCAACGTTCTCGTTCATAGTAATGAAATTAGAAGTTGTTAATCATGACAGACAAATGAGAAAATAAGAGAGATGGCGGCTGAGACATACCTATCATGGCGGCTAAGATGGCAACCCACATCACTGGTATACCACTTAACATTAAGTCGTGTTGCCGTCTGGGTCGGCAAGTTAT